ATTTCGTGTTGGCCTAATTTGAACAGGATATGACAATATTTATCATAAGTTTTCTCGATCTGCACTTCCAACGGGAGGTTGATGTGCTGTGACCCCCATCAGTATAGAACATGTGTCAATGTAGTCTGTTATATACTGTGGAGAACTACACGTACAAATATTGAATTTCGAATTCTATGCCCTTATAGAACTTGAAATGAAGCAAATAGCATCCTTAGCTTTCTAAACGTTCAGATTCAATCTAAATTCCCACATTTAGTAGAAAAATATATATGGTCAACAGACGGACGCAGTACTGACATTGCAGTGCAGTAGTGTATCTGGCAATGTACCCAGTGTATCTGGCAATGTACCCAGTGTATCTGGCAGTGTACCCAGTGTATCTGGCAATGTACCCAGTGTATCTGGCAATGTACCCAATGTATCTGGCAACATCACTCTTACTTGGTGCAGCTTTTCCAATACTGAAGGAAAGGTGATAATTCTAATTAACACATGAAAAAGCAAATGTTGAGCAGCAAATACACATGTTATTTGCTTGTACATTGTATACAATTTATGCATAACAATATTTACGCTCTATATCACACACACACAAAAATGAATGTAATTTGATATCCTAATTAGTTTACTCCGAAGTCAGTCTGAACCCCATGGCCACTGAGGCATTAAAATTAAAATAAAATTGATAAGTCACATATAACCACTACAGTTGTTACATATATTTGTAATTTAATAATAATAATAATAATAATATTAATATATATTTAGTTTCCTTTTGTATATAGGTCCCCGTGTAGGTTATATAGGTAATATACATGTCTCTGCTGTGGTTTAAACTCATTCCTCTTTTACAGGAAAATCTGCTATTGCGCATCGACAATTTTAAGTGTGCTGAGCATCTGATATTAACATGCCTGACATACATACCTTACAAGACGGTGTCCTGGTTAGATCTTCCGGTGTGTATCATTTTAAGTAACACTTTTTAAAGCAATACTTTCTTGATTCATTACACAATTGATTACAGGTATTTCAGGAAGCTAAACTACATTTTTAAACACCAAAAATACATACACGAGTATTTTAAGCATGCAAAGACAATATGATGTGTTTTAATACCAAGGGCAAAAGGAAGACAGCAATTTGTGATGTCACCAAGTTAGTTCTCAATTTGTAAGAAAAGAAGTACTGTGGGTAATAATAAAACAATATTAGTGGTTCACAAACTATTATCCGTGTTTATGGGGCCTTGCAACGCGCCAATATCTTTCTCAACTCCCTGGGGAGCATACAGCTGGAGCTGCTATTTTGGCGCTAATAGCTAGCATTCAACAATTCTAGCACTGCCAAGCCACGTACTCATTTACAGCTGAGTAGACTGGAACAAGCGGAGTAGCGTATCTTGCTCAAAGATACAACACAGTGCCGTGCCGTGACTCGAACCCGCAACCCTTCTGGCATGAGTCCGGCCTTCTACCACTAGACTACCGTGCCTAAACGTCTTAATATTTTCTTTCTCTAGAATAGATATGTATTAAACCCTAGTGTTATTTACTGTGTATTGATATGTAAAACAATATCTAACGAGTAATTTATCGATCTTGAGCATGATTATCTTATCATTTAAGTAAACTGGTAATTTCTGGTTAAAAATGGCAGGTTGTAATATTCTGACATTTTTCTTGAAATTGTGGTGAGTGATATAAAAATAAACAATCAATGAAAGAGACATGTTTTCTGACTCGTAGACTGTTGTGGGACATCCATTGATATCTGTCTGTCGGACAACATTCGTTTTGTCTGCAAGTTCTTAACTAAGCATTCGTTGAGAATTACTTGAGATATCGAAGATCACTGTTTCAGCAATTGATAGAAGGGGCATAACTGAGTAAATTACGGCTGGATAATGGTGGTTATCGAACTTGTTCAAGCTTTCATGGTAATTAACCTTCCTATGCAGTTTAAAGTTAATTAATTGAAAATAACTCGAGATAGCGAGCGATCACTGATAAAGGGGCATTAGTTATTACTCCGTTAATTAAAGATGGATAATGGCGGTAATCGAACTTGTGCGAGCTTTCATGTGTGTTGATATTTTTTTGTAATCTTATTTTTTGGTTGATTTGATGAAAAAAGATCCATTCCTCATCAGTAGTAACGAATCATTTTACTGCAATGAAAATATGTTTTTTAAAGCTGATATCAATGATTGTATCAATAAATTCAGCCTTTCCGTTCTTATTTTTCTGATCAACTAATATCTTTAAATCTGATTCTCTACATCGATGTATCATCAAATAGTTTAATGGAGTTTTATTTCCTTTACAGCACTTATCAAACAGGTTTTCCCGACTTATCATTCTGTTTGGCCATGACGGAAGCGCGCAACGGATCTAACTGTTAATGAGGGAGGACACCAGAGTATCCGAAGAAAACCCACATGGTTGGCCATCTTGGTGAAGACGAGCGCACTATCCACTGCGCCACCCCTGCCAAAAGAACAATATCTGCTTTAGTTTTGACTGGAAGATTGTGTCTTTGATGCAAAAGTTAAATTGTTAATACAAATCCTCTATGGTAATATAAAAACATCTACATAAATGACGTTCTTGAAAGCTCATTAGAGCTTGTGTATCATTGTTATTCCTCGGCTTGCCGACTTTAAATAAGCTTATCGCAGAGATACAATACATCTCCAGCACACACGCAGGCATACGCACATAGGGAAATATTAGCTAGGTGGTATAGGACTAGTAGTTAGCGCCTGATAAGGCAGCTCCTGCAAATTCCTCAAAATTGTATTGATTAATGTATATGCTAATTGTATTCATTGTATTGAATTGTATAGCTATGTACTGTAAAGCGCTTGAGAGTGGCTTATGTAAGCTAGATAGGGCGCTATATCAAATGTATATTTAATACAAAAAGCTACGCTCTTTACAGGCCTTTTCATATTACTGCATTACAACTAAGTCTAATGTTCCAGTTTTGTTTTGTTTTATGAGCTTTTAATGGATTCATCCAATAAATCAATAGTACTGCCGAGTGTGAAACATATGAGTTGGAATTTTAAAAAATAAATGTCGTTATTTTCTGGAAAATGGGTTTGGTGTCATTCTCGGCATAATCTCGGGTTAGACCGTCAAAGGATTTCCTCGCCGGGTGGAGACTTCTCTGTCTTATTGTTCTTATCATAGGGGAAAAAACGCGAGGACTCCCCGTCACGTCATCATAGTAGCCATTTTCGTCATTTTTCTTTTGCATGTTTAAGTCTTATCAAAATTCTTTATTTCGTTTGCCTCCTGGAATGTTTTTGCGGGCGACAAAGCTACGAGATATCATACATGAGTCACCATCTAGTTATATCGAAGCGAGACCTGACTCATGAATATTCTGTACCTGTGTTCCGAATGTGTAGTCACGTCCATCCGTGATATATCGTGTTACTATGGCAGACAGTACGGATCAACTTTTACCAGAGAGATATCTTCTTATTTTTAGTTATTATGCAGGCCATCAGGATAACAAATTTGACCCAAGTGACCTTGAAAGTCTAGCAAGGTCATTCAGTTGAACAAACCTGGTAGCCCTTAATCCCAAATATATTCACCTGTGACTTTTAGTTATTGAGAAGTTGTTTAAGGATTTTAATACATCTGACCCATAAAGTGGGTCACTCCTTTAAGAAAACTGGGTAGCCATTCAACCCAGCATGCTATTGGTCAAATCTCATCACCCTCAGAATCCTATTAAGAAGAAATAATTTAACCTGAAAAAGGTGGACCAAGGTCAAATATACTTAAATAGCCCAAATAAAGCTACAGGCTAACTATCCTTTACTCATGACTCTTGGTTATTCAAAACAACCTGCTACAAGATTTCAATACGACCCCTGTGACCATGAATATCAGGATTAACAAAATTTATAGTCTTTGCTTCTATTATGCTGCTGACCAGATATCACAGCCAATGTCTTGTAATTATTCAGAAATAATTTAAAGATGTTATCCGATTTGACCCCTGTGATCTTTAAAGTAGGTTAACATCATTTTCATCTATTAGCCAAATGTTTGGCTTTTGGCTCCTCTAAAGACGTTTGACATTTCATAACATACTTGACTGTGTGATCTAAAAGCATGTCAGGGTCATTTTCATTCTCAAACTAAGCTTTTAGCCAAATATCATGACCATATGCCTATTAGTTCTTCAGCAGAAGTAGTTTGTAGTTTTTGACCCCTTTGACCTTGAAGGAAGGTTGAGGTCGTTTTCGTTCACAAATTATTTTTGGCTTCATTCCAGGAAACAAAAGCAAATTATTATGATTTTATGCCTTTCAGTTCTTCAGAAGAATTGGTTTTTATTTTATTTTTGACATTTTTGATCGTGAAAGTAATTTTCGCTCAAAACCTTTGTGGGGATCTAACAAACAAAAAAAGATAAATTGCTTTACCCTAGACCTTTTATGCCTTAGAAGAAGTTGCTTAAAGGAAAAGTTGACAGATGAAGACAGCATAAGCTCACTTGTACTTTGGAAAGGTTATAGCTAATAATGACCTAAGTGACCTTGAAAGTGGGTCAAGGTTAATTATTGGAACATATTTGTTGGCCCTTCACCCAAACATGCTTCTGGTCAGAAATCCTCACCCTGGGCCTACTGGCTATTGAGAAAATGTTGTTTGACGATTTTTATAAGTTTAAACTAGGTGACCTTGAAAGTGGAGCAATGTCAGTTATTTAAACTTAGAAGTCTTTCAACCCAGCATACTAATGGCCATATGGCTTCAACCCAGGCCTTTTGGTTTTTATAAGAAATTATTTCAAAGATTTGTTTTAAAATAATGCCCTTCATACCAACAAGCCTTTAGACAATTATCACCACCCTTGGCCTATTGGTTTTGGAGAAGATTTTGTTTAAAAGAAAAGAGGGACAATGTGCCATGGCAACATCCCTTCATGTCTGGTGAGCTAAAAATTCAAATAATAAAATAATAAAGATAAAGAAATGTTTTTTATTTTCCATATACTGTTTTTTATAAAATTTCTGTGATAACATTGATCCACTTATACAAAACTCACCAGATACAAAAATAAGAAAGTCATGTTTTCACAATTAACTTCATATTCTGAAGAAAAATTAAGATTTAACTTACATTCAATGATGCTCAAAAATTCCATCAGTATTTTATTCTAAATGAAAAAATATACATTATAGGGTAATTATTTTAGAAAACTCATGTTTTCTATAATTACCCTTTAATGTATCTTAATTGTGACTTTAACTTCGAAATTTTAAGTATTCATGAGCTCATCTTAGTCAGTGTGATTTTCATTAATTGATCTTAATCATAATTAATTCAAAATTTTACTCATTACAATTCAATATAACAAGTCTGATTTATGTTTACAATCATTTACACTAGAGTAATATTATCACATAAATTTGGTTTCTGTGATGAAGAAATGATAATAGTTTTGAAACATACCAAGTATTTTTTGTGTGTGCTTGCAATTGATATAATCCAAAATGACATTCAAATACAATTGGAGAAAAAAAGAACTGAATTAAAACAGTTTGTTTTTAATGATAATAATATATGATAGAGAAATCAGTGTGACATGATTATAATGATTATGACAAATTTGCTGTTTAAAATCAATGGCTACTATCTACACTGAATCATTTCCATTTGTAAAAAAATATATATATTTATGTACAAACAATTTTACAGTTATTACCTCCCTTTGATCATCTGAATTCATGGCAATATGTAGATATATTTACAAAAAGGAACTTTGACAAAAACAGACATATATGCGTACGAGACCATGCGTACCATTGTTAGAATTTGACTATTTGACAGGTACTTCATAGATGTGACTGACTTATTTTTCTGTGTCCAGTAATTTTATACCCATACAAAAGCAAGCAAGACTAATTTTGGAGACACAGATATTTAAGATCTAAATTCATGAAAAGACTTTTTCCTGTGGGAACTGGCCACATTTTGAGAACTCAATGTATCTGTTAGTATGGGAATCAATACTTCAAATAAATGACTTGTCTGTATAAATTATACAAAAAAGCTGACAAACAGTGTAGAAAGCTCTAACATATACAGGCAATCTACATTTAGCTTTTTGCTGTGCTGTTTTAACCAGGACGTCCCAAACAAAGCTTTCTAATTGATTTTTTTTTCATTTATCTAAAAAAATATTCTTCGACAATAAAACACACCAGTATATCTATATCTGCTACTCAAAATGTTCCTATTGTATGCATCAAACTGTCAAAAATTTGGAATGATACTTATAACTTTCCAAGACAACACTAATTACATCATACATCAAATACACTGTTAAATGATAGCTATTTACAAGGAACACACAAAAACTGTACAAGAAATGACATGTACAGATGTATGAATGTATGCTTTATATACACAACCATCAACAGGTCGTTATGGACTGCTACAGAACCATCATGCTATTCTACATAGCAACAGTAGATCCTGTTTTATGAAAGGAAGGAAGGGATCAAATGTTACACAATTCTACTTGTGCTCCTTAAGGAGGATTTGGGGCCCGACCTTCCACCAACATCATCATACAACCAGAAATAACGAATTACCAAAGTTTCTGGACTGAGTTCAGGTAGTCCACCAAACACCCCATCCTCCTAAATCAACCACTTTTATATCCTGATCTATTCTTAAACAGCACTTAAATGTTTGCATAGAATCAGACATTAATATCTTATTATTGGACAGTTATTAATTAATAGTTTCCTTATTTTAAAGGCAACTAAAACACATCTGCACACACTCTTCTTCCATGCATGGAAGACACACACAGACAGTCATACATTTTTCATGGTTATTTATCGAACTAATTTGAATAAAATATAATACAAAAATGATATCCGATTTAAAATGCTCTTTTCTGAAGTTTTTAAAATACAGTTATGATATCTGTCCCTTAAATTTCACTTGGAACCAGGGTTTATAATTATGCTTTGCCCTTTTTAAAAAGTTTAAATGAATTTAGATATGAACATTGTCACTAGTACGGCGACGAGGGACACCGGTAGGATCCGGACAGAGAGTCCACTTGCCGAGTTACAGCCGTTCCAGTCATTACAAAAACAGTACTGTATGTTAGGATCCTCAACAGTTAACGGGCTACTGCCCGAGTTTTTCCTGGCAGGAAGACAGTAACCATGACGCCGAAGACCTGGCATCTGAAGTCTGTGTTTGGTTGTCTTCAAAAGATTATTCTCACATTCTCGAATGATGGTGTGGTCAGCTGCAAAAGTAATGGAGTTTTTAGAGTAACCGTTCACAGACGTTCATTTACCAAAATAAAACAAAAAAACAGAAGACTAACAGTTTTTGACAAGCTATATCATTCTGTAAAACTGTAGTCACACAATTTAAGTGTTTACAACACTGGCCACCATTCGGCATTATTTGCTGTAAAGTGTCATCCAGGTCTTTGCCAATAGCAAAAATAAGGTATATCAGGTAAGGTATATAATTATGTAAAGGTATACATTGTATTGTCATTTTTGTGTATTATTGTATGATTGGCCTATTGGTGAGGATAAGGCTTTTGTTTTTGTATTGAAAGTTATAGAAGTGTGACGTAAGTTTGTTATTCTATAACGAAATGTATTGTAACAAGTGAGTTTTATGGAACACTCCTTCTGAAAAAAGACTACTTAAATAATAACTCACAACAGTGACAATGGTATACATGTAACGGTATAGCTTGTACTGTTTGTACAACTATCAATCTTAAGGATCCCTGTCCCACTGCACTGTGATTTTTTTCTATATACAATAACCTCTCCTTAACTTCCATTTAAATATAACTGTAGAACAGTTGGATCAGGACACATCCGTTGACTAGGGCGCTCAATCGCTTAGAGCAATAGTACAATCTGAAGTCAGGGGTTTTAATCCCGTCTAGCGACACTGACTTTTTACACTCAAAAATTATAATTGATTATGTAAAATGTTTATTTTACCTACAATATCAATATATCTCACAAAAGTCCTGTAAGGTACTGTATGGTTTTCTTTTCAAAAATTATTTATCAAATCTACAGTCATGTCTAAAAACCCAGTTTCCTACTCTTTATTACTGTTTTTGGCAGTGGGTACGGGATCCTTAAAACGTGGTATACACTATTTGCTATATCCTGTACTAGTTTTCAAAATTCACTTCCACATGTATTTACATTGTTGTTGCAGTTATGAATAAGTTGTTTGAAAAACAATCATTCCAATATTTATAAACAAGTAATCTATCGACTTACATCCGACTTTCTCTATGACTTTAACACAGAAGCGTGAGTCCCCACAATCTTTCCACGGGAACATCCACCAGTTTAATTCATCACCACAGCCTCCCATAGCACTGTAACAACGGTGACACATGATGCCTTCAGCTGTAACATAGCAAAACACAACTTAATTTTCCTCTATATACGTAATAATAAAAATAATTTGACTTGACGTTCTTATATACTGTTCTATCGCAACCTAGTTTGCAGGTTGTCTCAAAGCATTTCGCAAATTATTATCCGTGGTTATGGGGCCTTTGGAACCAGCCAATATCTTTCTCAACTCCCTGGGGAGCATTTACAGCCGGTGCTGCCATTTCGGCACTCACAGCTAGCATTTAACAATTCAAGCACTGCCTAATCACATACGCATTTAATTTACAGCTGAGTAGACTGGAACAACCACACAAGTCTACCTGCAAGTTGATGCTGTTCGACGGCCCTTTGCAGTATCGCCGTAAATGTAAATGTTAAGTATCTTGCTCAAAGATACAACACAGTGCCATGCCGTGCTATGGCAAGCTGTTTTACATTGAATGCTATTTCATCTTAAGGTATATAGCCCGAGTTCCTCTGGCCCTGAAACCAGACTTAGACATTTTGACATAGATGTCTAAAACCTGGTGTCAGGGCCAGAGGATTCGAGGAGGGCTACTTAAGGTAAATATTTTTGTCACTCAAATGAACAGGCACATAATGCAAATGGTTAACAAACGATTAGAATTCGTGAAGCTGCTTTAGATAATTATCATCTAGCTTTATTTTATGCTACCGGTCATTGAAGGATCGGAAAGCAGACCATTATTGTTAAAAATATGACATTGTATGAGGGTATTTAATTCAACGTTTGTTCAATATTAAATTTGGTACGTTGTCTCAACTTTCAAACGAAAATATAACTTCAACGCTGATGTGCCAGTTGGGAGTTGTTGAAAGTGTCACATACGTGGAAAGAAAAATATGTTTCTAAGAACCTGAACTATTGTACTTCGTTAGTACATATCGTGAAGCTGATTATGATAGAATGAACTGTAAATATGGTGTTTATCTTTTATTGTGGTCGCCATTACTGAATTATCGTTTCCGCATTTTTCAAATAGCATCCAATGTGATAATTGGTTATGTGATGAATAAAAATTAAACGAACTAAAATAAGCCCAAATTAAGTACCTCCATTGTAAAGTACAATCGTCGATAACACCAAAAGGACGATGTTTAACCCCATCTTGAACGTTTTCTCTGCTCACTTCATAATACTACCTCAACCGGAAGGGTGATTCTCAGGTGCGTCACCTGTTTACCTGCGCGGATCGATGTTTTGCGCAGGTGAGTCATTCAAACCAATTTGAAGGGCGATAACTCGTGTACATAGCTATCTAAGTCCGTGGTATATCTTAATATAATCACAGACTTAGATCTAATCTAATTCCGTGATATAATTTAATCTTACTTGTGACAGGCATTTTCATTGGCTTAAAAATGTATGTTATGGGCTGATAACATAAATTTTCAATGGGCGTAACGTAAAAAAATGACGTCGCCGTTTGTAACGTCGCTTTTGATTGGCTGATACAGCGGCGTAATAATGTCTAAATTTCCACAGGGATTGTATATAGTAGATTAAATTATAAGGATTGACTTGAATATATTTTTCATGTTATTGAGATATAACACAAAAAAACGGAGTTTACTCAAAATAAACCACTTTCTTCTCGGTTTATGATGAGAGTACACTCCGTGTTTTTGTGTTATAGCTCCATAACATGAAAAATATATTCAAGTTAATCCTTAAATAAACAAACATCAAATTAAATACAACAGAATGAAATACTCAACGCGATTCCAACGTTTTCTGCTATTTTCTGGTATGACTGCTTTTAAAAATGTTACTAATTGTATATTTATATATATACTTAGGTGTGTGTACCAAACATTTACCATGACATTTGAATATGAACAAAAAACACTTTCTTATTGACAGTATTAACGACTGGAATGTTTTACCCATTGACCTAAAAAAAATAGACAATTTTACCACTTTCAAACGAAAACTTACTAAATCATGTATAGCAATGTCTTAGATTGTAATTTGTTTCTCCATGTAACCAACTTGTTACTTTCTTAATAGACTTTTTATCTAAATTATATCAATATTTTAGATTTTGCTATATTAGCGTATAACTATGTCAATTTTTATTGTTTGCTATATTAGCATGTATGTATATTAGGCACATGCCATTTAATTGATGAAATACCTTTGCATGAAACTTTATGCATTCTGTGATACTCTTAACTAAGATAACTATTATATAACCTTATACATCGATTGCATCAATATATATGTTACTTTTACTAGCACATGCATTTTACTAGCAAGATTACCATGTTTATTTATATATCGATTGCGTAAATATGTTATTTTATCTAACACATGTATTTTACTAACAAGAGGACCATGTGGAAGATTAGCCTTTGGCTAAACATGTAGTTTATCCTCAATAAATAAAGTTTATTATTATAAAAACCATTATCTATGAATGCAGCGAATAGAAGATACCGTTTTGATTGGTCAATACCAAAAAGTGATATTTTCACAAATATCACTTTTGATATTTGTCACAGTTAAAAAAATATCAGTCGTATCAAGTTGATAGAATCCAATATTTCACTGGCAAAAATATAATAAAATTCATTATTACTACTTATAACCGAAGTGGACCTCCTTGCATAACACCAGGTTGAGTGACGGGGGTAACCTGAAAGATAAATGTCACATGCGAATATAATTTTGAAAATAAATTATGATAGTGTATATCGATTAAAATTACTGTTATTTTGATACTACTCGTAGGGGTCACAGTATGGTATAGAGAACAGGCCGGTTTGTACGTCGGGGATAGTATTCTGCTGATTTTATTGCTTTAATAACCAATAGATACGGCGATTTTCAATAACGTAAGTGAAGTACAAAATTTTGATTTTTTATATAGGATAGTGAAAGTAGATTTGAAGTGCATTCAACCATAACATACAAAGATGTTACCCAAATGCGGGATTATTACCCATATGCGCCGTTGTGCCCAACCTTATGAAAAGAAATACTCCAGATACTTCTCCTGGTCCTGACTTTGAAAATAGTGTCCGAAAAAAACCGCAACTTTCTGATACCCCGCCCAGCCACGCCCATTCGTCCGGACATACGGTAAAGACACGATTCACCAAAACCTGATCTCCCAATAAAACACATGTTATCAATCGTATGGACATCCATAGTTCCCCGACGTACAGATATAAGTATCATGTATATGAACCCGAAGCAAACATCTTTCATCTTGATTGCGTTTTGCTTCTGTCTATATGTACATAGTGTTTTTTAGTCCGAATTATTCTGACGTTTTATCGACTATTTTCATATCGGTCTTGAGGACGACAGACCGATATGAAAAAAGTCGATAAAACGTCAGAATAATTCGGACTAAGTGTTTTTGTGTTCAATTCTCAGTTATTACTGAACCTTTTGTTGCTGGGTTATTGTACTTACCCATTGACATGTTACTGGACCTTACTCTCTTTACCCATATCATGAGCCCCTATCTCTCTATCACTCGACCTTACCTCTTACTTTTCTGTACTGTTCTCACATACATCTCCCCTCCACCCATCCCAATCCTCTTGTAATGCATAGTCCTCGTTGTCTTCCGTTCATTTACTTTGTCTTATTCTCCTGGATTATGATTATGATTTCATTCATATGTAAAATATTATTGGTCAAGATCTTTTGCTGGACTGTACGTTGTCCTAGAATGATGGTACCGACTCGCTGTTTTATCAGTCAAATCTGTTACGTATTTGACAATGGGTGGTTCGTATATGTGTCACAGAATACCGATCGGTACCTTTTATTCTAAGGTCTACGGCAGATGTATGAAGAAGTCGTTTAAGTTGTTCTCTTTTTGTTAAGGTTCATTTATAAGGTGTTCGACCTTGGTCGGTATTATATATCGTGGTTTATTTATCATTTAAACCTTTTAATCTGTTCATGCTTTCGAAATATTGAGTTCTCTATAATCTTGTTTTTAATATAATTACAGCATATGGACATCGAGTCCAATCCTGGCCCGGGGCGTGGAGAGCTTTCAATATTTCACCTTAATATACGAAGTGTTAGGTTTGTTTATGTTTAACGGCCCATCGACGGCTGTGGTCATTAAGGGCCATGGTGATTTTTTTTTTTTTTAACAAACATGTGAGTAGCGAAGATAAAATCAGATAAAATGGTTCATTTTAAAAGCATTCGCATTGTATGTGTAGATAATAAAAAATAAAAAAAGGGGGTTAAGATAATAAAAGAGACAACGAATAGATGATATGGAATATGCGATATATATATAACGTCAAAAATGGTAAGATGGGTTAAAAGACATCAGAGTCTATAAAATAGACCGATGTCTTTCAAATAGTAAAATAATGCCTTCGAATCCACGGAACTGAAAAGTGTTTTCATATCCGGGACTCGAAAGTAGTTATCACGAATGTGTTTAAAATCGGAACATTCTATTAAAAAATGTTCCACTGTAAATGGAGTGTCACATGCGTGGCATGAAGGTATATCTTCTCGTTTTAAAAGGTACGAATGAGTAGGATATGTGTGCCCAGTGCGGAGCCGAGCGAGGACAACTTCCTCTCTACGATCTTTCCGACTGGGAATAGATGTTTTAAGTTTCGGTTGTATCTTAAAAAGTTTGTTGGTGGTCTCGAGAGACCAGCGTTGCTGCCATTCATTTTGAATGGCTGTACGAATAGTAGGTTTAAAATCTGTGTATGGTAGTTTGATATTTGTTTGTTCGAGATTCAATGCATTTTTTGCTTCCCTGTCAGCAAATTCGTTGCCTTTTATTCCGACATGGCTCGGAATCCATAGTAAAGTTATTTTAGACTTTTTTAATATACGAGATATTCGATGAGCAAGGTTTTGTACGATTGTGTTTTTAGGATCTCGTAACTGTAAACTCTGTAGGACAGATAGAGAGTCTGAACAAATAATTGCCTTTTTAATGCGGTGTTCATCGATATGGTCGAGGGCCAAACCAATGGCGCATGCTTCAGCAGAAAAGATGGAGGCGCCGTCTGGTAGTCGGACTGAAGTGCAAGTATTGGCAGTACAGCAGGCTGCTGCCACTTTCTCACCTTCTTTGGAGCCATCGGTGTAAAGTTGTGTATGAGAAGGGTAATTCGAAATGCATTCCCGAAAGGAGGATTTGTGTTCTTCGGGCATAACACTTGATTTCCCTCGCTCATGTAATGTAAAGTTAAAATCGGGGGTTTGAATGGTCCACGGAGGAACATCAGATATGTTAAATTCAGCTATGTCCGTCAATTTTATGTTGAGTTCTTGCAGGAAATTCAAAATTCGGATACCAAATGTTGGCAGAAGTTTTTGGTTTTGCGTAAATATGTTTTGGTATTTGGGGTTGAATACTTGGTTGAAAGCAGGATTTTTAGGGTTTGATTTTAATTGAGTTGCAAATTGTAATGAAAGTTTTATTCTTCTGTCATAAAGGGATGGTTCATTTGCTTCCACGTACAGGCTTTTTACAGGTGTTGTTCGAAAAGCTCCCAGGGCAAGACGTAGCCCTTGGTTATGGATTGGATCTAGCATCTGAAGGTACGAACTGCGCGCTGACCCGTATACCATAGAACCATAATCCAGTTTTGTTCGAATAAGTGATCTGTATAGGCGCAAAAGCATTTCACGATCCGCTCCCCAATCAGTATGAGAAAGGACTCGTATAATGTTTAACGCCTTGGAACACTTATCCTTCAGATACTTTATATGTGGTATGAAAGAGAGTTTCGAATCAAAAATGAGGCCGAGAAATTTAGTCTGTTCAACAACAGGAATTCTAGTGCCATCGAGTGTTAGATTTGGGTCATTGTGTGCTTTTCGTTTTTGACAGAAATGCATGCACACAGTTTTGGATTTAGAGAATTTGAAGCCGTTTTCGTCTGCCCAATTTTGTAGTTTGTTTAGACTCTGTTGAAGTTGTCGTTCTATCGTGTGCATGTTCTTAGATCTGTAACAGATCAAGAAGTCATCCACAAATAACGACCCTTCTGTTGATTGACCAAGACATTTAACTATATCATTGATTTTAAGACCAAACAGTGTGACTGATAGGGTTCCACCCTGTGGGAGTCCCATTTCCTGTTTAGACGTTTCAGAAAAAGTTGAACCAACACGGACTTTGAAGTGTCTATCTGATAGGTAATTAGATATAAAATTGGGAAGGTTTCCACGTACGCCAAGGTCGTGAAGATCTTTCATGATGCCATACTGCCATGTAGTATCATAGGCCTTCTCAAGATCGAAGAACACAGCGACAAGGTGTTCTTTCTTGGCGAAAGCCTCTCGAATGAACGTCTCTAATCTGATGAGATGGTCATTTGTCCCTCTTCTATTTCTAAAGCCACTTTGAAGAGGGGATATTATATCGTTGGCCTCAAGAAACCAAACCAGTCTAGTGTTTATCATTCGTTCCAAAGTTTTACATACACAACTAGTCAGAGAGATAGGACGATAGTTGTTTGGGTCAGTAGCATCTTTTCCCGGTTTTGGGATAGGTATAATTGTGGAGTTCTTCCACGAATCGGGAATCTTTCCGGAAGCGTAAACTTGGTTGAATATGTAAAGAAGGCATGTTAGTGAAGAGTCCGGTAAGTGCTTTAGAAATTGATATGGAATATCATCAGGACCTGAAGCAGTGTCCTGTGATTTTCTAAGCGAATCAACAAGTTCTGGTAGGGTAAATTGTTCATTATAACTTTCTTTGTTTGATGATTTGAAATTGAGCCGTTTCTTTTCTCTCTTTTTTTTCAAAGACTGGAATTTTTGGGAGTGGTTTAAAGGGGATGAGTTTTTAGCTATGTTTTTTGCAAATGCATCAGCAATTTCAGTTATAGACGAGAAAATTTTGTTTTTATTAATGAGGTGGGAGGATGTTGCCTTTTTCTTTTTCCCACTTATTTTCCGAATCATATCCCATACTTTTTTTGAGGACGTGTTTGATGATATCTTGGATACATATTCTCTCCAGCTGTTTCTTTTGTCAATTTTAATTGATCGCCGAGCCTTTGCCCGCCAAATTTTAAATTCACTGTAGTTTGAAGCAGTTGGGCAATTGAAGTAGCGTCTTAGAGCAGCTGCCCGATTACTGCGTGTTTTAAAAGATTCTTCAGATAAAAGGAACTTCGTAGGTTTTGGAGCGGATTTTGGAATTGTCTTTTGGGCAATAGAAGTGAGTGTTTCAGTAAAAGTTTTGATAGGGTCGTCGAGGTTAGTAAAATTGTCTATGGTTAGTTTTTCAATGCACATGTGTTGGAATTGGGCCCAATCTGCTTTGTGCATATTCCATCGAGGTAGAGGATCATCAAGAGGAGTCCCAATATTCTTAAGAAAAATTGGGAAGTGGTCACTCCCACAAAGATCATCATTTACCCTCCAGTCATAGTCAAGTAGAATGGATGGATGGCATACTGATAGATCAATGAGGGTACGGGAGCCTGTAGCAGGGTGTAAATAAGTAGGGGTATTGTTGTTAAAAAGGCACAAGTTGTTTTTATCTACAAATTGCTCAATACGTCTTCCTCTCTCGTCTGTGTTGGGAGAGTCCCACAGGCTATTATGACCATTAAAATCACCGAGGATTATGAATGGTGTTGGGAGCTGGGAGACGAGATTATTAAGTTGCTCACAAGTGAAAGCAATACTCGGAGGGAGATAAATTGAACAGACGGTTATTTGTCTGTGTAATGTTGCACAGACAGCAACAGCCTGTAAATTTGTGTTTAACTTGATCATTCTGTGAGGAATATTTTTATGGACAGCTACCGCTGCGCCACCTGCTGCTCTGCTAACTACAGTTGGAATGTTAGTGTAGAGTGAGAAATTTCTAAGCGTGATTGGGTTTTTGAGCATGATTTCTTGTAGACAAAAAATGGCGGGTCTAAATCCTTTGGATAGATTCTGAAATTCTTCTATATTTGCCTTTAATCCGCGGATGTTCCATTGGATAATTGTATTATTATTTTTTTGCTATTTTGGCTGGATTTCGATGGAATCGAAGCACGAAGCGCTGAGGCATTCCTCTCCATCTCATCATCGAAATCTAGTAGGACGTTGAACCGGTTTGTCGGGTCCTCTGATCCTTTGCCAAAGGTGACATTCAGATCAGGTCCATCAGATTTCCCCCTCGCTATTTTTTTTTCCTGGGTCTGTTGGTAGGTGATGTTGCCTCTGGCCGCAGTTGGGATCGAGGAACAGATGTTAGTGAGCGAGATCGCTGCGACCACATCTGTGCCCTAGATGGGCCAACCTTTGGAGGGTTTTATCCTGAAGAGGAAGGTGTTTTTGATGGTAGTGTTGGTTTTGCTGGTGTTGCTGGTTTTGATGGTGGTGCTGGTTTTGATGAAGATGCTGGTTTTGAGGGTGATGCTTTTTTTGATGGTGATGCTGCTTTTGACAGGTTGTTTGGTTTGGTTGATTTGGTTGGTTTGGTTGATTTGGTTGGTTTGGTTAAAGTCGTGAAACGGGATGGGTCCCCCGTGAGGATTTTCAAGTTCTGTTGACCAACCATGTCTGGGACTTGTGAGCCCCAGGCAGGGATGTCTTCAGATACTTGAACCGAAGCATCCTTGACCGTGACATTGTCAACTAGCGCCTTGCCTCGAGTCACCTGTGCGTAAGAGGGTGTAGCAATGTCTGCACTCCCGACTATCCTCCTGGCCTCGGGGAAAGAGACACCTCGGGTATATTTAACCCGTAATATCTCCCTCTCCCGGCTCCAGGTAAGGCAGTCGCGAGAAGAGGCATCGTGCTTCCCCTCACAGTTGACACAGCGCAGGTTGGCGATGTCGCAGTCACTTTGTTCGGTGTGACCCTCACGGCCACAATACTGGCAGATCGATTTTCGTCTACATCGCTTTTCGTGATGACCGTACTTCTGACAGTTTCGGCATCGCAATGGATTTGGGATGTAGACGGAAACGTTGTACCTCTGGTATCCGATTGTTAGTATATGGGGTAGTGTTGGCGTTGAAAAAGTGATGATGAAGGTGTTTGTTTTGATTGTATCATTGTTTCTCCTGATCACCATCCGCCTCACCTCAGAGACCGGGACGCTCTCCTCCTGGAAATATGCCAGTATGTCTTCATCGGTGTCATTGCGCAAGGCTGGGCACCTGATTACCCCCTTGCTGCAATTAAGTGATGAGTGTGGTTTCACACTGACACCGATGCCGGCAAAACTGGTTGTTCCGAGTAGGTTCATCGCCTGTTGTTGGCGATAAACCTCTATAAGGAGATCGCCTAATCCCAATGGCTTAACGGATTTCACATCCCCTGCAACTCCCTGGATGCCCTTCCTCAACAGAAGTGGCGACAACGCGGCCGTTGTTTTACCACTCTGTGTGGAGGTCATCACAAGGAATTGCGGGAATTGGGTGTTCTGTGTTGCGTTTTGTGTTGTTTTTGAGCTAGAGTCATCGTTCCGGTTTTTGGTATGTCCGTCGTTTTGTTAGGAACAAATATGATATTATATGCTTAACTGAAACTCATTTAGATGATCAGGTCTCTACAGATGACTTACTTATAACTGGTTTTCATGTACCTTTTCGACTTGATAGACATTTTGCTGGTGGTGGTGTTCTGGTTTACTTCAATAATATTTTAAAAGTGGACCGTTTGCTTGAATTATAATATCCAGGTGATGCGATTATTTGGTTAAAAATTACTCTTCCAAATTTTGTATTGGTTATTGGTTCGGCCTACAGACCTGAAAATTCTGTTTCACCTTTTTGGGAAAACGACGTTTGTCCTTAAACCTTGCCCTAGATATTTCATCAAATGTTATAATCACGGGGGGTTTAAATGTCGACTTATTAACTGCATCTCGTAACCATGTTTTTCTTGATATTATTAATTCCTTTAGTATATCAAATGTAATCAATGAACCAACTCGTATTGGACCGACTCGATCTAGTCTACTTGGTCCTATACTTTTAACCCACTCGCTTTTCTTGTATTGATTCTTCTGTTATAACTGTGACAAATCATTGAGTGACCATGACAGTTGTATTGCTTGCATTGATATTCCCTGTATTGTCAAACCTATTTTTAAGTGAAAAATTTGTTTGTATAAACGGGCAGATTTTGACAGATTTAATTATCTTATTTCTGATTATAATTGGAATGAACTTTTTTTTAAAATTTGATTCAGTTGATACTGCCTGTAATCATTTTACTGATACGTTCATAAAATTTGCAAATATATGTATTCCACCAAAAGATGTAACTATGAGACCTAATGATAAACTATGATTGACCTCTGAATTAAGAAAAACAATCAAAATTAGAGATAAGTTGCATAAAATTGCGAGGTCAACCAAACATCTTTCGGACATCAACAAATTCAAATCTCAACGGAATAAGGTCAATAACATGACAAAATATGCCCGTAAATTATCAAAGAGTACTCGTCCTCTGATCCAAAAGCTTATTGGAGACTCATCAAAAGGTTAATGCAATCGTCTGGTACTACACAATCTATACTTACTCTTGTAGATCCGGTTTCTGACAATGTGTTTACTAGTGACGAAGACAAAGCTAATTTATTAAATGACTATTTTTGTAATATAACTCGTGTAGATAACAGAAATACTGCGGTTCCTCTCATCGAGCCAAAAACCGACAAGAGTCTTGGGTACATTAGAGTCAATAATAATGAAATACAAGATATTTTGCAGATATCGAAGCTTGGTAAGGCCTCGGATGAGGATGGAATCAGACACCATATGCTAGGAAGCACATCAGAAACAGCTTATGTTCCCCTTGAAATTATTTTTAATAAGTCTTTATCGTCTGGTGTTTACCCAATCTCTTGGAAAACAGCCAAAGTTATGCCACTGTTTAAAAAAGGTGACAGGCATTCTCCCTCTAGCTACAGGCCAATTTCTTTATTATCTACAGTTGAAAAGGTGTTTAAGATAGTAATTTTCAAATACTTGCACAATTATTTTATTGAAAACTTGCTTTTTTTTATAAGCACCAGTCTGGTTTTTCGCCTGGTCGTTCTACTGTATATCAGCTCATTAACATTTATCATAACATCTGTATTGCTATAGAAGAAAAAAAAACCATGTATGTATGGTATTCTGCGATATTTCTAAGGCTTTTGATCGGGTTTGGAATAAGGGTTTGATGATTAAGTTAAAATCCTATGGAAATTCAGGGGAATTGTATCATTGGTTGGAAAATTACCTATTTCAGAGGTACCAGAGAGTCTTTTTGAATAATTCTTACTCCGACTTAGGTTTCATAGAAGCAGGTGTTCCTTAGGGTTCGATTCTTGGACCTCTTTTGTTTCTTATCTATATTAATGATATTGCTGATGTGTTTGAATCAACCTCTCGTCTTTTTGCAGAGGATACTTATAGATTTGGAATTTCGTATTGAAAGTGTTGGGTCTTCGAATTTAAGAATCGGAGGTCAATACACAATTTTGAACCGTAAAAGACTTGCCTCCTTTGCGATAGGTTGGTTGGGTATGGTACTTTGTGAACGCTTGGTAACAAGCACAACTGGACTGGTGATAAGAATTTCCACTGCCTCGCTGATGGGGGCAATTAAGCCTTGCTGTAACAACTCATCCAGCTGGCAACGGCGAACTTCACGTTTGTATGGTGGCATTCTGTACGGACTTTGATACTTTGGCTTGACATCAGGGTAAGGCAAGATCTTTTGTTGCACTAGTTCTGTGAAACCTAGATCAGGGTTGTCCTTCGTGACAAACAAGCTTTTATGTAGACACGTAACAAAAATGTTAATGCAGTATGTTCCGTTTCCGACATGTGATCGGGAATGCTAAAATTTGCAAGAAAAAAGGAACAGGGGTGTCGTTTTGATCAGACTGTGGTAGAGTTGAAGTAGCTGAAGGCACATAGACATTCTGTACGAAATCTTCGGGCACATCTGTCGCTTCATGGTCAACCAACGTAATGTTCAAAATTGGCGATAGGTTTCCCGGAAAGAATAGTGATGGGAAGGGAAATTTTCACTGGTGCAGTGTTGCTGAGCGATACTGTTACAAGAGTTTTAGCTACCAGGATATGCTGGGTGAACACTGTTACTGCTTCTGGAACAAACGCCTTGAGATCCATACAACACGTTTTGGAAGTTTACCCCATACTACTATCTCCAAATTGGCTGGAATTACTGTTCGCTGTCCGCATGGCACTGAAGTGAAACCGAGAGCATATGAATAATCTGAAAAGTAAAGGATATCTTCATTCTCTGTGACGTATTGGGTACCTAACATTAATGGATGTGATGTATGCGGCAGGAAGTAAACATACACTTAATACATATTGCCACACACACGGATCTTAACATCAACAGTGCCAACGATAGAATGGTTAGATTGTTCGCTAGAAAAATTTAATCATTGGGTGCACCGTGTGTACCCATATCTCCTGGCGATCTTACCCTCAACTTATCTCTTGTTCCCGCTACATACAGTACCCATATCTCCTGGCGATCTTACCCTCAACATTATCTCCTGTTCCCGCTGCATACAGTCCCCAACTCTGCTGGCGATCTTACCCTCACCATTATCTCCTGTTCCCGCTGCATACAGTCCCCATCTCTCCTGGCGATCTCGCCCTCAACATTATCTCCTGTTACCGCTACATACAGTACCCATCTCTGCTGGCGATCTTACACTCAACATTATCTCCTGTTCCCGCTGCATACAGTACCCATCTCTGCTGGCGATCTTACCCTCAACATTATCTCCTGTTCCCGCTACATACAGTACCCATCTCTCCTGGCGATCTTACTCTCAATCTTTTGGATCACTATATCACGTGGCCCAATAAAAAACATAAAATAATTGTGAAATGCACTAATGTAACGGTTCCTGACTTGGAGCATGTATATTTTATAGTTAAAGTGTCAGGGTTTGACATTTTTTATGCCGAATTCTCTCCATTAATTGTCTATGGTATATTACAAATATTGGATGGATCTTAACAGCAGTAGACCAATAACGAGAAATTCCAAATTCTATGTTATAAGGCGTTACTTAGATTTACTTACCGTTTTGGGTGTTTAAAAATGGTGTCCAAGACACCTTGAGATGATTTTAAGGTCTTTTGACGCTTTTGTTTTGACGTCGACATCTTTGACGATTTCACTATATCACGTCGTTAACAACAATGGATACTAATCGCAGAGTCGAATACGGCAGAGATGGTTCGCCCATTGCGTACGCCCTCACCTGGACCCGCCCCTGTCAACATTATCTCCTGTTCCCGCTACATACAGTATACGTACCCATCTCTCCTGTCGATCACATACCCAAGATTATCTCCTGTTCCCGCTTCATACAGTACCTATCTTACCTGGTGTATTTTGGTTCGTTGTTCCAATGGTATGGATCAATGTCATTGTTATAACAAAAGAACATATTTACCATTGCCACATATTGACTGAGTGACACGCACTTATTGGTGAGTGCGGTCTGGGTGCTCGTTAATAGGTTGAAGACACATATATGGGACCTTTGGTTTGATTGATCAGACCACTGTATAAGTTCACATTAGATGTGAAAACTGTACTATATATAGTAACAGGAACGTTCTAACCAATAAATATACAGAAACACATTAGTGGAGAGGATCACACCAAGATGATTGACTACAGGTATGTGTCACAGAATTACTACAATGTAAATGATATAACTCATTGTGATATGTATTGACGGGAAACCCTGTACGACCTACCCGTGTTAAACCTATTTTCTACAAATCCTGTACTAGTTTGAGACTATCAAAACTGTTGTTTATATACCACAGACAGCTCACAGGGCTATACGACTGATCAAGTCTTGATCAATGATCCATAAAATGTAAATTTAAATGCACTACATACCATACAACTTGAATTTATTACGCAATATAAGTCCAGTTTTGCTAAACCTTTAAGTAAATAAAATAATAATTTACTGACATGAATATTTGGTACCATGTGATGTTTATTAGCCGGGTGAAGGTACTAACCGAGTTTGAGGGGGTGGGGGTGAGGGG